CAAACACAGGGCAAAACACTAAGCCTCACTGCTCTTAACTGGGTTTACCAAATTGCCCATGGGTGTGCATATGACTGAATGGTGTGTGAATGTGCCCTGAAATGGGCGCTCCTTCCTGGGTGGTCCCTGCCTTGCGCCCTTAGCCTCCGGGATAGACTCTGACCCCCCGCAACCCTGAATAGGACCGAAATGGATGGATGGATGGACGGACGGACTTTGAACATCATCTTACCTTAGGAACAGCAGTGTCTTAAGTCGTCGACGGAGCACATGTGGAAATCTCTGGCTGCTGCATCTGTGTCACTCTTCTTCAGAATGATTTACAGAGTGCCCCCCCCCCCACCCAATACTGTGTGATACTCTAAATTAGGACCCTTGCCAAACATTGACAGATTAAGCAGTTCCATTTATTAAAATGCATAGGTGGAATTGGGCACATTTAACTGGGGTCCCCTGGGACCCCAACACATTTGTGTTTTTAAAATGCACTAATCAAAGCAGAAATAGAAAACAATGATGTGACATCATTAGGAACAAATTGATTGACAAAGTCAAAAAAAAAGCACCTGTGAAACATGGGGGCCCCCTGTTGGTAGGATGAGGCTTAACCTCAGCATAATTTTGGACTTTGGGGGGAACTGGAAACTTCACACGGAGCCCTGGTGGAGACTTGAACCCTGGTCCCAGAGGTGTGACGTGGCTGTGCTAACTTGTCAGGTTTTATCGTATAAATACAACACAAATAATGTTTACTTGAAATTAATGAAAAGCGAGTGATGCCCAAATCAAAGGATGGTCAATAAGCTTTTAATTAATAATGTGGATTGTACTTGGGATGAAAGCTGCAAGTTTTAAAGAAAAGTATAGATTTTCATTTTACAAAATATGCAAATTAGTTGCAGTAATAATAAGAAGAAGAACAATAATAATCTTTTTTCTTTAGATGACATTAATTACATAACTAATAATGCTTTGAGGAGAAATAAGTTTTGCTATTAACATTATTTTGCTGTTATTATTACAGTGATTCCAGGGACAGCAGTCTGTAGGATGAGGGTTAGGGTAGTTTCATCTCTTCAAGTAGAATGTTCAGACGTCTCTAACAAATTTACTTACAAAGAATTATTCATTAATGTGAGCATAATGACAGCTTTTATCTTTAAAACTCTTCCTACAGATGATAGGTCAGGTGATGTTATCATCACTAGCACCAGCCCATTTACACAGACACATCTGAATAATTCATTCTGTAACTAAAGGGATTGAAAATATTTGGTGCATTTAAATTTCCCCAGAGCAAAACATTTGTTTGGGAGTGAAAAAAGTAGGTTAGTTGAGGAACTGCTCTCACTTCATGCTTCCTTTACAAATATAATCATTATGCAGAAAATTTGCATGTTACACAATGTACGCAAGGAATAAGCTGATTAGAAGGTCTTAAATGGTAGAAATCAAAGATGAAAGGTGGAGTGTTTTATTCACTGCCATGAGAATTATGGCTGAGAGCTGGTGGAGTGCGTAGCCGCTACTGCAGGCTGGGGGTGCAGGACTGCGAGTTTCAAAAATGGAGTACTTCGTTAAAGAACCGGCACCAAGCAAAATGGGGTCATGTCTCCTTTAAACGGTGAGAAAAAAGCTGTAAGAAAGTAAGCTAGGGGGCAGAGATACACCCCCACAAACACACCTGCCTCATCTTAAGTTGACCTTTTTTTGTTCTAAAGGAGGAAATTATTCCAGTCTAAAGTTCGCTGGCTTTTTGTGGCAGTTAGCTTGTGATCAGGCCACCAAAACTCAGTCCTATTTTTCCTCCTGTTTCACAACAGAACATCATTTGCTTAATGCAACAACTCAAGGCACTAGTGCCTCGGTCTGCTATAAACAGTCATATAACTCATGGTTGCCGGTTGCCGTTATTTGGCAATAAATACGGGAACCATAGCAGTTAGTCAAGTGGACGACAAGCCGGCAGCCTCCAGAAATTGGTTCCGTGGAGAAGGAAATACAAACAGTGGCTTATAAAAAATTCAGCACATGTCCTATCGTTACTATCATGATGGTAAAGATGCTCAGTCTCCTGTGCACACAGTATACAGGTAAAAAAAAGAATGTACAGAGCTTAACGCACAGCTAACAAAGACAAACGTGCTAAAAGCATAGCAAACTGATTTTAGATGTACCATATCACTTATGTTCCTTCAAAGCACGTTACTAAAACTTAAGACTGGCATCACTGAACTTACGCATTGTGTCCCTATAAACGTGTGGTGTGGGAAAAAATGCTAATGCTTAAAGTCACGGGCGACTAAACGAGCGGGCCTTCCTGTGGCACTTCGTTTATTGTGAGCGCAGAAGCATGCCTCACCTTCGCTGGCTTTCCGAGACGCCGTATCTGCCAGAGGCGTCTACGGTGACTTTGAATGGGGTGTAATTGATGGCGCGCATTTGGCAGTTGCCTTAACGACGGAGGCTCTGCAAATTGCCCCCGCGCGTCGCACGGCGGGTGATGTCAGACGGGGTGAAAGAATGGAGGCAGCCGGGGGGGGGGGGGGGTGACGAGCAGCTAGGTCAGTGTGCGTAGATACCCAGCATTCCAAGCAGAGTGGGCAACGGGAATCCAAAGTGAGCAGGAGGCTGAAATGGCATAACCGGGGTGCCCTTCAGACGCACCCTTGACAAATGGATTCATGGATTCGCAGCAACAGCGCGCCTGGAGAACCATCCATCTCCAAAACCACGGCTCCCAGGTTTAGCCATGATGGCCGGAGCGTTTTCCAGAAACATCCACTTATTCAATTCAAACACGTGATCAATGCAGCTCCTGCATCCTCAGAAAGAGCAATTCTAGTAATACAATGCATTAAGTTGCATAATGTACCCAGATGATCTGAGTGACACAGACAAGGTTACCCATCATCCACAGCTCCACAGGCTGCGAGCTACCACAGTCATTTTCTGCTTCATAAAATCAGCGTGAAATGAAGAATTTCCTAGTTGGAGGTTTCACATCTTTGCATTGCCATAACCTTCCTGCCGCGATACCACGGTATAACCCAGCCAGCCTGCCTACAGTGGTCATGTGGTTTTTGTACATATATCAACCACACATGCACATTTTATATGTCAACCGGACTGTACAGTATGTGACCATTGTCATGTCTTCACTGTGCATCTACTGTATGTACAGAGCCACTAACAGCCAAAGACAAATTTCCTGTGTGTGTGTGTGTGTCTGTGTGTGTGTGTGTGTGTGTGTGTGTGTGTGAACATACGTGGCCAATAAACCTGATTCTGATTCTGATTTTGATTTCTCCCTTCTTTTCCCATTATAGTTAGTGTGACAGTGCTGTGCTTCTTGTATAAATATTTGGGAAATATTAAATATATAGAAAGGCAGCTTTTGCATCTTTTTAAAAAAGAAACATCGCGTCTAATAAGTGTACTAGGATGGAGTGCTTATTCTTCAGCACATTACGATATAATTTGTGAAATGCAGGAATACTATACCGTCCCATTATCCTTAGACACGCCTATGTGTGTTTGTCTGAGATTCATGCACAGTTCACAGTCCACAGCAAGGTGTTTCACGGCTTTAGGGAACAATGAAATGCGAACGGAAACACGAAATTCTGCTATGTTTTCATTTCCACTCACCGTCAGAGATGGTCAGAGAAGGTTTGCACAGCAAAGGAAGCAAACAAGGACAGAGAATTAAATTAATGTTCTCCGTGCTCCTTTGGAACTCTCCAAGCTGTCCTCTGTCAGTTAGGGTCAGCAGCACTAATAAATCAAGTGGAGCATGAAAACACTGCGAAATATATAAAGTAATGAATGCTGTAAGCATGCAATAAGAAACTGTACGACTGTATATATCTGTGCCAGGAATGTATTTGCGAGTTGCATTGCCCGAATATAGCCCAAGGGGTAAAAGAGCCTCATTTCAAGCCGGCAATAAATCACTTTCTTTTAGCTTTCAAGAAGTGCGTCTAAATGATGGTTTCTGTCAATTTTCGCAGTGTCACGGAAGGAGACATTCCATTCTTTTCTGCCTGAAACTGCAACAAAGTTGTAAGTATCTTACAAACAGCTGCTTCCATAACTGTATAGAATAAGAGGTGAACTGAAACGTCAAGGAAGAGCCAGCTCACTCAGCTTCATTGAGGAAAAAAAAATCAGCCAGTTCTATTCTCCGTCCATTTTCTGTGCCCGCTTGTCCTGTGCAGGGTCGTGGGGGTCTGGAGCTGATCCCAGAAGCTACGGGCGCAAGGCAGGGAATAACCTAGGATGGGGCACCAACCCATCGCAGGGCACGATCACACACCATTCAAATCAGCGTGTTTTCCGATTTCTTCTTCTCAGTGCTGTCAATCCTATTGCGTCCCAACTCATTTAACTGACCTTCTCTATAGATGTCTGCCTTCATGCTGTCTTAGGAATATTAATCAGGTATTCACAGGACGTTGCTACTTCATCTTAATCCTCTTTCAAAGTGTCACCCTGTGTTAGTGGCTGTGTTTTAGGCAGCTCTTTCCATGATGTTGTATTTATGACACTTCTAGCCTCATGACCCAAGTTTGCACTTGAACTTGACAAGCGTTTATACTTTTAAAGAGACAGCGCAGAATAAATCTTTATCAGCAAAGCTTAAGCAAACCTGTGACCAAATCAAACCAGCGCAGGATAAAAGACTGGAAGATGGCGTGAAATCCTTTTACCGCTTTGGCACAAACAGCTTTGTGATGCTCCAGCATGGTTTAAAATTTTAATCCAGTGAAGGAAACTATTAGGTCAAACTGCTTTCATCAGTATCCCTGAAAAATTCTCCGGCAACAAAGGGTACAAACAACAAATAATCTTCTCACTGCAGACAAATGACCTTTCTAAACTATGAAATTATGCCATTTTTGAATTTTAAATTGCTCAGTCACTCATAAATCAGGAATGCAGCCAGATGCTTTGAAATGCCTAGAAATTAGGAGAAAAAAACACACACTTTCTGTACCTGATAGTACAGAATACTTGAGTGAATTGTTACTCTAGTATTTCTGTTGTAACCTATAGCATAATTTATGTAGAACACAGTGACTAAAGAGGCAAATTCTATTCTGTATGCAGAGTATTTACAGGTGTGATGACATGATATAAGCGCACAGATACCACCTGGACATTATCCTTTGCGGAAATGATATGTACACGTGGGCTTATGCTTGTGTGTTTCTATGTATGCAAATATAGATGCTCCGTCTTCTGTAATAAAGGTCAAGGGAGTAAGGAGTGGAATTGACTTGCAAATGCTCCTGCGGCGTATCGGTGTGCAGACAGCTTGCGGTGTTAACGTCCAAGCTGCCGTCATGCAAATCGACTCTGTCAATGTATTGAAAACTTAAGCAAACAGTGTTCCCGGCCGCTCGGGGAATGTTTTCATCTGGTGCCAGGACCGCTCTGGCCGGCAGTGGGGATGGGTGTCCAGAGCGATACGTTAAAAAGCAAAAAAAAAAAAGCGCACTCTTTCTTATCCATGCGGAGCGCACATTCGGGGGTAAACAGTACGAGGTCTTGCTCGGATGCGTCTCAGTGTTTGGCGTATGTATAGGAGTAGGGATGAATCAAAATTGGTCATGAAACTGCATTGCACGGGTGATGCTTCTGGGGTTGGGGGGGTTGGGGGCCTGCAACGCCCTGCGGATGCAGCTGGAGCGAAGTGCCAGGAAAGAGATCCTGTGACAGAGTGCAGAGCCGGGCCAGCAGCCATGAAAAATGCATGAGCCGCCCCCGAGTGACTTCCAAGTGATGTCAGGGTGGACATGGCCCACCAGCTTCCCGGGAGCCCCCACCCCAACCCCACCCCCCTGCCAGTTACCGGCAGAGAGCAACAAAAGTATTTTCATATCCGGCCCTCATGAATTATTTACAAGCAGAGAGGGAGGCGTTTAAGGTCCCCCTGGGCTTGACTTTGGTCATTGTCCTCGACGGCTGTGTCTCGGAGGGCAAAAACATGAAAGTGCGATCTTAGCGCCACTCACTGTGTCCTTTCATCTGCGGCTACAGGGACGGATATTCCGTAATAACGTCCCCAGTTTCAAAGTAAATAGCCACAGATCTCATGTGAGATTGCGACGGGCCGTACCTCATTGATCTTTGTGCCCTGTATCTCTATCTGATTTCACTGGCTTCCTTTTCTCAGTCTAGTTACAAGCAGTACTATAGGAATTTTCCGAAATTATATAAAAATAAAAATATATCATATTTTAATAGAAAGCTATATTAGAGGCACCTTTTTCATCTTATTTCAAAGATCATAGTACCCCCTCAAAGATGTGAGCCAGCATGGAAACACTAAGGCGATGAACCTGGCTTTCTGGCCAATGTGATTATCATCTAGTTGAGCATTTTGGGAAATAAATGGACGAGTGATGGATGAATTGAAATGCATTTTACATAAACTGTGAACCTACTAAATAAGTTCAAGTGACGAAAAGGTTACCGAAGTCATCTCTTATTTCATTTTAATTTGTCTTTTACTATCAAGACCACCTCCTTCGTTTCAAGATCAAATGCCACATCACTTTTCTCACACTAGCCTTGATAAAATGTTTTTGAAAGCATTCCAAAGCTTTTGTAACCAAGTTTCAAGTTACTCAGTCACATAGATAGAGATTTTGTGGCGTTTTGTAGCATGTCTTTGAGATTTAAATTTAAGTTTGTGGAGTATGTTAGATCGCATTCCTTCATATTCTTATTTAGCATAGCTTTGATCTGAGTTACTGATGTTGGTTTTAGTAATTTTGTTTCCCGAAAATGTCTTTAAAAGTATGTTTGACTGGGAAACGAAAAAAAGGCATGCAGAAATAATTGGCTGCTGTGTATTTGGCTCAGATCGTGAAAGGAGTCGGTTCATTTTCTTCATACTTTCCCACGGCAGTTTCTTTCAGGAAAGGTTCAGGGGTAGCAGCAGAACCTGTGAATCATGAATAAATAATAGCTAATTTATTTATTAAGCATTCTGGCACCTATTTTCACTTTATGTTGATGTTCTCGCCATATCACCCTCGTACACCACTATCTGCATCACAGCAATCTCCAATGTCCCATGTCATCATCTGATGAGACACTGTGGCCGAGTGACAGCGGCGGTGAAGGAGGTTGACCTGCAGATGGTCCAGGGGGACCATAGAGAGCTTGGCGTGTATAGCAGAGGTGAACAGGCAGAATATGGACCTGGCGAGGAAAGGTTCCTCACTGTAGAGGACAGATTCTGTGATACGTTCTTCATTAGGAGGATCACTGTTGCCAAGCAATGGGGGTTAGGGGCTTGGGATTATGCCAAACACTGATTTATTTCTCTTTGGCTGCAACCAGTTGATCAACAGTGCTAATCCCACCCACAGTGAGTTTTGACTCATTTCTCCTTTCATGACTGGTAGCCTCACTGGAGGAGCTACAGGGAGTCTCTAAGGCGTACTTATAAAAGGACTGTTGAGTGCAGGAATACTCAGAGGTGTTGGACCCGAATTGTTTAATGGCGTCAATGCAATTCTTTTTTTTTTAGCATGTCAAAGCTTCAGGTTCAGTGGCATTTTTTAACTGGCAGCTGCTTTCCAAATAAAATGAATGAAGGTGCTTCTCCAGAAATCTATTTTAATTCCACCAAGGTCAATGCATGAAGTATTAGGTTATTGCCACAGCATAGCATTGCGAAGAGCAGCACAGCTAGGAGTGTACTCATGGGTTTTAATACGGTATTGTTAACTTGTAGCAAAAGTCATAGCTGCTCCACAATGTCTTTATTTTTTTATTCATTTTTGGGAGTTAAAGAATGAGCTTCTCCATATACTTGATGTAAAAGGGTTAGTCAAGTACAAGAGTGAGACCCAGAAGGGAGACTTGTTAACTAGAAGAAACTAGGTTGCAAAACCCATTGTGAGTTTAACAATCATACACTATTAATCATTGCCTACTTTAGCCCAACAACACCAAAAAAAGCAACCGGTCGGATTGTCTCATTGCTTTAATACCAAAAAGAGTTTCTTTATGTAGATGTACATGGTGATTGCAGGGTAGTGAATCCATCTGTCATTCCTAAAAGTAACCTTTCAGCAAAGACGAGGTTCAAAACTGGAATTCCCAAACTAAAATACAACATTGTTTTGGGTGACAACATAAGGAAAGCCAAAAAATGCAATAACCCAGTTGTTATTTGAGGGATTTATTGGTTGCATTGTTGTAGTTTTTAAAACCATCTATTAAAAAAAATACAACGATAAAAGTACATAGCTCATATTTGTACACACATTTCCTTTTTATTAAATATCACAGTACAATCAGTTTCAATTCAGCATCTCTGTGAGTAAAAAGCCTTTTTTATTAATGTAACACTTGCCATGGTTGTGGAATGTCAGTGACTTTATAAAGGATAAATCTCACAATAAACTTTGTACTGAAGCATTTCAGGGATGCAATATCTCCATATTTTCTGTTTATATGTACTGTATGGAACCAAAACAAAAACATTGGTGTTTACTTTTACTCTTTTGATGCTGGCAACCTAAGATCATGTTATAAACGACTCCCAGTCTGTGGAATAAATATATTTTCTAAAGTTTTCACAGTGGGCACCAAGGAGATAAAAAGCAGAGCAGGATCCTTTCACAGCGTGAGACTATTCTCATTCTTCATTTGCTGAATGCAGTTGTTTGTTTAAGACAAAAGTCTGCACACACTACTCAGCATAATTGGCTGTGTCTCTGGGAATAACTTTTGCCGCGAGCAGATTCCCCGTCAGAGCTGCAGAATGGAAGAATTGACAGCAGAACGGAACCCTCTGCAAAAATGGGCTCCAGCTCAGCACTGCTGCAAAAGCACAGATAAGAACCACAGCGGAGAAATAGAAAGCAAATGACTTTTTAATTAACATAATGGTGGAAGCCACCTTTGTAAATGGTCAAGCTTGCCCAGACAAAGAAGCAAAGAGAGGTGACACTAATCATAGCAGCCAGCAACTCTACGGCATTTAAACAATCACCAGAGCAACCAAACTACTTAAGGCTTCTCAAAGATTTTTGTTTTCC